GTATTAGAATCAGTTAGCGGAATAACTTGTAAGGTTACACCGAATTTGCTGAACAAACTGCTCAATCATATTGCAAGAACCTTGGCTACTCATAATCAATGTATATTTTATTACGTTTCATCCTGGCACAGGACTCATTAGCTGTGCGTGCACATCCTCGACTAGTGAACATCACAGTATTGGAACCTGTGAATTTTGGTCTTGTGCACGAACGCCTAACCTCTGGACCAATGAGTTGGCATTCAACGATGTTAATGTTTAACTCTGATTAATCTGAAGATTTTACGCAACCTCACCTATAAGTCTTTGATAGTTACTGCCTTAACCCGACAGGAGTTGAACTCCACTGGTCACGTCTTATCACTGGAACTCCAAGAATATCCTCAAGAAACTAGTCACTAATGAGCACATTTTATCGAGTTTTTCAGCAGTTATCTTGTTAAAGCGACACTGAAAGGAATACATAAAACAATATTTACCGTGACTTCCATAATATAAAGTTTTCTAATGATTAATTTGTAAACAGTATAGAATTTGATATATAATCTATGAAATAGTATGAAATAATTACAAAACTTCACAAGTGATCCACTGATAAACTTTCATCATTTTCCTTAACTCAACAAACTTGTAGACAGGTTATTTGATTATTAACAACTTATCACTGTGTTTTTATTCAACTCCAACAAATAACCTTCAAACTAAGTGATTCCTGATGCATTTCACATGTTTTTCATGGATTATAACAAAAACTGAATTTTGTACTGAAATCTAGAAGGAAATATAATAAATGCAAAACTATTACACTGATATGTTTATTGTCAATCATTGAAGAACACATGTCAGTCAGTCAGTCAGTCAGTCAAATGCAACGTAGAACTTGGTACGTAAGTGCATCAGTTCATGTTGCCATACCACATCAGCACAGAGATATAATTGTCAATTCAAATCCAATAGTAGTAGAGGTAGTAAGGGAATTAGAAGTAATCGGAGAGGTTAGGATTAGAAGATGTTATTCAAGAAGTATGATTCAGTGAGAAAAGTTTAGAGAGTCAAAACTAGAGGTGTTGAAGAATCCAGAAGATTAGCATTTGAGAGAACACAAAGAATAAATGCACCGGCGCCATTGAGAACGATTTTGAGCCATGTCATTCAAGGTCTCTAACCATCGATTATTATCATCTCGCGGACCCCAACCAGGTAGTCGACAATTACCGACATGACTCAGTCCACTTGTCAATGACTTCATGGATTTCTGCCATGTTTTGGTCTGGCCGCCCCCAACTTTCTTCCAACCTACTCCTACACCACATAACAAAGTTCGTCGAGGCAGTCGGTGGTTCGGCTACGCAAGACATGTCCCTACCACCTCAACTGATGAAGTTTCACCACTTCATCTATTGATCTGCCATCCTTGCCTAGTACTCGTTTCCTAACGACAGCATTGCTTACTCGGTTGTCCCACGATATACGAGCAATGCTTCGAAGACACCTATGATCGAAAACCAGTAACCTATGAATATCTTCTACTCTCACTGGCCAGGTTTCACATCCATATAGGACAACGGAGCGAACTGCTGCACAGTACACTCGTCCTTTGATCAGAGAACGGATATGACGCCTACGCCGTAAGTGACGCAGGTTGGCAAAAGTCAATCGAGCCTTCTGTATCCGAGCTGAGATTTCGTCAGTCACCAGGCCATCGGCTCTGATGAGACTCCCAAGATAAGTAAAGCGGTCTACTCGCTCGACTACTTCACTCACTATCACTAGATCAGGTGCCGATGCAACCCAGTCTTGAAGCAACATTTTGCATTTCGAGGGGGAAAACCGCATTCCAAACATGCTTGCATTGTTGCTTAGGGTAGTCAGAAGACGCTGCAATTTGTCAGCATCTTACACATGTAATAAATGAAGTATACAGAATACGAGAAAATTTACTTCTCAAATGTCATATTATTTAAAACAGTAATATTTTATGTAAATGTGATTTTGTTCTATATTGTTTTTTGGTCGATTCAATAAAGTTTTACACAAACGATAGACATACATAGTAAGTAACTCTAACAATGACAACTACATTTATCAACTGCAAATTAGTTGATTATGCGCTTCAGGTGATTGATGGTGGGTCTACTTCTTCTTCTTCTTCTTCACAAAAGATTATCACAGTGTTGTTCAGTTTCATTTGGGAGTAATCGTTTTTAAAAACAGATTAAAATAGTACCCTGACGTAACATCAGTTTAAAAATGTATGATAGTAGGAGTTGATATTCATTAACGTCATTTACATTTATTTTACTGAAATTAAGCCAACATTATATGACTCAAAAATGTAGTTGAATAAAATAAGTGTAAGATCTCCAAAAAAATACTTTTTATCACTTCACAATAGCATAAATCAAACTAGTAATTACACGGTAAAGGGTGTATTATGTGAAATTTAAAAACGATTGATAAAAATCAATATTTGCAAGATCATTCAGAGAAGTCAAAAGTTCACTAATGAGGATTATATGAAATATCGATAGAAGTTCGGAAACAAACACAAATATCTCATTGTGTGACCAGGTTTGAGCAAGGCCACATGTCATTTAAAGCCAGTAAATAGGAACACTATTGGACCATTCCCACAAAGTCAAGTAACATAGATTAGATATACATTTAGTGATATCAAACGTCCAACTAATTTCATAACTAACTCTTTCAGCATTCAGAATAGTGTTTCAGTGAGTGTTATAGATATCTGTCCAAATCCTGTCAATTGTCAATTCACAGAATAGTTAGTACTCGATATAATTATTTGAAATGTACGCTTAATTTCAAAGTCAACTTGCTATTTCTGTTACAGTCAAGTGTTACATAGTCACATGTTTGTAAATGAATACGTCACGTTGAAACTTGGAACAACATCTTATTGATGTTGAAAACAATTAATCCCTTTTATAAAGTGTAGAACAGTAAGAAGACGTAATTGATCTGATCAGATCTATTACATGTTCTCAGTGCTCTATCGAAAAAAGTTTTAATCTTCACATAAAATGCCTTGACAAGAGTGTATAATTGTGACAAGATTGTTTCAAATACATCAGTTTAATTTACTTAGTTACTAACGCGTGTTACTCCCAATGGAGAATAGGTCGCCCACCAATTTTACCCAGCCAACTGTGTTCTGGGATTCCCTTTCTAGTTCTATCCAATTTTTGTTCATTCTTTGCATATCTTTCCCTATTTTTCGGCGTAATGTGTTCTTTAGACTTTCACTTTCCCTTTTACCTTGAGGGTTCCATGTGAGGGCTTGTCTCGTGACGCAGTTAGGTGCTTTTCTCAGTGTTTGTCCTATCCACTTCCACCGCTTCTTCCTGATTTCCTCCTCCACTGGTATCTGGTTTATTCTCCCCTAAAGTAGGTTGTTGCTGATCGTGTCTGGCCAACGAATCCAAAGTATTTTGTGTAGACAACTCTGTCACCTTAGAACTATGAAACTGTAGATCATCAGATTTCCAAGAAAGATCAGTATATAAAGATTGATATAAAGAAAGTGAAATAACCTCAAAAGATTATCAAATTTGTATGTTGAGTCAAATTTAGAGATGAACTCATCTAATTCCATCTTTTGTGAGTTGTCATTTCTATCGAACATATCTGTTGTTACTTGAACACACAATGAACTAAATATTCATTCATCCAATCTATAAAATATAATTTCAGCTCAAAATAAATATTTAAATGATTCTCGTTGGTTAAAATTAAATCTTGTATTTGATTGAAAAGAAGACAACTTGAAAAGAGTATATAACATATATATATATATATATATTTTATGAAATAATTAGTATCATTCTACATCTGAAGCCAATTTAGTGACGACGCTAATTTTTGATAATGTTCTTATTCTACTTATCTATTTTATTCTTGACTAATATTGCTACTACTCAAGAATCCTATCCATATGTTAGTGTGTTTCAATGCGATATGCATTTTTGTTCAATTAACTTATTACTTTTCAGTATTTGTCACGATTAACCAGTAAATCACATCTTCATTTACATAACATAGAACGTATAATCGATCCACATTATTGTATAGTAAGTGATAAAAATTATTTATTTTCCGATTTTTTGATTATGATAATCATAAAAATTTTTTTAGAAAAAAAACATGACATTTGAAAATAGGATTCATCAATTGAAATTCAAATCGATTAGTTTATTATCTGAAGGTATTTTTGCGTATTTTTGTATACATTAAGATTGATTAAGAATTTTTTAGGGCAGAGTTTAGGAGGTTTGCGTTTTTACACATTTGAAATCATCAATCAATGGTCTAACAATGATTGATTGATGATTTCAAATGTGTAAAAACGTAAACCTCCAAAACTCTGCCCCAAAATATCGTAACAGTGCTCACTAGTGATGACTAGCTTCGTCAGGAAATTCTCGGAGTTCTAGTTGAGAAGACGTGACCAATGGAGTTCAACCCTGTCGGGTGTAGGCACTAACTACCAAAGACAAATGGGTGAGGTCGCGCAAAATCCCTAGATCAATCAGAGTTAGACATTAACACCGTTGGATGCCGGCCGGCCCAGTGGTCCGATGGTAAGGCGTTCGCCTACAATGCCGAAGGCCGCGGGTTCGAGTCCTGCGAGGAGCAGGAGTCGTGGATACGCACTGCTGATGAGTCCCAACATACCAGGACGAAATGGCCGTCTAGTGCTTCCAGGTTTCTAATGGTGGTCTAACGATGATTGATTGACGATTAGGAATTGTATTTTTTTAATAGTTACTTATAATGTCAGATCAGATTATTTCTTAATACATAACAAGGACACTGGATAAAGAAAATTCAAAGTTTTATTAACTCTCTATGACAAACATATTATTGTCGATGTTCATATTTTGGTTTTCATTTAGAAAAACAAACAAAAAAACTTTGATTGACCCTCATTATTTAAATCAAATTGTATCATTGCAATATTTATATTCATTTTGTCATGCTTTATGGGTTATATACGTTTATATTTAAATTTTCAAGGTACTCTGTACTTGATTGATTCTTTTGAATTTGGTAATCCGGTCAGAATATTAAAAATACTCAATTTGAAATCAGTCAATACTATAATATACATATTAAATACGGGTAAGTTTGTGTTATGATTCAAAATATCCACTTCATGAATACATTTCATGTAAATTGATGTACTGTGATGTTTGTTTAGTGAAAATATATATATATACATACATATATATATATATATACGACACCTGCATCTCGCAGGATTCGAACCCGGGACCTTCGGTATTGTGCGCGAATGCTTAGCCACATTTGTCGGCCCAGTGGTCCGATGGTGTATGCGCTTTTCCGATGTCTTCGATTCTCGAATTAGTGGGTCCTTATATGCACCACACTTTCGTTCTGCCTGAAAGTTACGAGTTATGGCTTGCCCCGTTATGCAATTTTCTGATTTCCGTATTCTGTGTCCCATGAAATTCTAGAGTTGTTTTCTTAATAATTGATCAGCCAGAATCTGTTTTGTTTTCTCCTAAATTTGGTTGCTACTGATGGTGTCAGGTCTCGATGCTGAGTAGATAATTGTTCATAAACGCTTACATCTTTTGAATAGTCGGTTTCCTGGTTCGCCACATTTTCCCTTCGTGCATTGTAACTATCTTGGGGTTTATATTGTATGTTCTGAATTTGGTCTTGGTTGACAGGCAGATGTTTTGAGAGACAGAAATTATTCAACTGTGTTAATACTGCTCACACCTTGTCAAACCGTGCCCACAGATTTGCATCCGACCACCCTGACTATCAATGAAATGGTCCTAGTATGTATCTGTTTCCATATACCGCAAAGCTTCTTCATCAAGTGTGATTTTAGTATTGCGCTTTGTGTTTCTTTGGAAGATTTAGATTTCTTCATTATGCATGTTGAGATCCTGCTGCCACTGTGAACATATGTATCCGCATTTGTTGTTGTGTTTAGGATAGAAGAGTCAGATCACTTTCAAAGTCCTGATAGCACAAATGTATATGAGTTGCCGGTTAAATTCCGTGCATCTCTGTCTTCATAATGCAAATAAATTCACGTTAGCAGACGAAAATTTATAAACTGACGACAATTATTCTCACTAAGTAATGGTTTTCCATAACTGGTTTACAGTTTTATTCAAACGTGACAATTTTTTTGTCAATTCACTGACACGCTGAATAGATCATAAATACATCACCGAAACCAAGAATTTATGACTGTTCGTTATAAAACTTTTGTGCAGTCACTTCCATTGTGGTGTTTGCTTAGATAAGTTCTTAAACGAATAACGTTATGTCATCGCCAAGTGTAGACTCTGGAAATTTTAACTCTCAAACGTTAAAGAACGAATACCTGTTCTATGTAAAATGCGTATGTTTTGATAATAAGAGAAATGTAGACATAAATAGGTCATTATAACAGTTTAACTTAATACAAAACAAGCTTATAAACAACCGAACTTTCGAATTTAAATCCACCTTACATTCATTTATGCCGTATAAGTATAATAATGAAGGGAACTAATCTTGAATAAATAGTTGTGCAAGTTGAAATACCAGACAATGTAATTTTTTCGCTGATCTTCCTTTGAAGTTATCAAATCTATTACCGAGCGAGAATTTGACAATAGAAATTTCAGACGGAATTTCTAACCACAGTGATGGTCGATGTAAGAAATAGTACAATATTAGTTCATTCTTTCATAATGAAATAATCATTATTTATGATTTTTTTTTTGCTTAAATTCTTAATCTAACTATTCTTTTTATTAACAAACTACAAACTTTTCACAATCACTAATTAAAATTTAATGACAAGGATTCATATTTGTTAACGTTCATTTTATTATATCAAAACAATCGGATGTAATTTTTATCAGAATTATTCTGAATGCTTATACATTTAACTGCGCTTATGATTTTGACAAAAGGAATTGAGTTAAAAATGGTAGAGCTATGCAGCGTACGTAAATAAACCAGTTGTTCTATAAAAAACGATCACTTTTACGATCAATATAAGTGTCTGAATAGTAGCTTTTTATAACTTGAATTGGATTCCTAACTCTAACGCATACATTAAACTTATTGCCTTTTTCGAAACCAATCACTACAATATCTCTTAAATTTTATGAAATTACTAATGATTTAATCCAACATTATAAATGAGGTAGGCTTCTTATTATTTCTATGAAGTTAAGACATCATTTGGACAAACTTGAAGATGTAAACGTTCCTAGTCAATGTTTGCATTGTATATTGAGGTTGGGCATCAACGGATACCAGGTGTTTATATGATCACTTAATTAAAGAGCTCGACGTATTCGTGCAGCAATTATTCTGTCGAAATTATCGCATTTATGCTATCAATCGATGATTATATCTGAATCTAATTCTCCATTATCTTCTGAAAAATTTCTTTAACAGGTCAAAATATATCCACTGGAAAGCTAGTACAAAAATTTCATTATCCTGTTACTCTGCTAAGCGAAGACCAAGTGATTGATATTACTCCACTAGCAAGTATATAAAACAAAATTTTCAAAAATTTTCTGTGTAAAAAACATTGGATATGAAACTGACTTTATATAATCTTTAACTGTTAAATTTTCTAAAGTTTTAAACTTGTTAAATAAATGTGTGCAACATTCAGTAATCTCAGACAATTAATGAACAATTGTTTGAATACGAAAAATTATCTCACACATGAATACTGAACTTTTTTCCTATGATATATTATTCAGTTTGTAGTCAATGTGATTCACAACGTTTGAGCTAGTTTCCGAAAGATGTCATCAATCTGTCAAGTTATCAGTCACATAATGATCATAATCCAGAATAATTCATTGATTTAGTTTATGACAATGTAGGTTTTTTTATTCTAAAACGCTAAACTAACTAGATGTATTATCATGGAACTTTATAGAAATGTGTGATAAATTTACTATTGATATATATATATATATATATATATATATATATATATATATATATATATTGGTTTCTTGAATGATAGCAAGCTAGTGAAGATATTCAGTATTCAATGATAATTGACTTATAGACGGACATAATTATTTGAAATTCTTAATTCATTTGTCTTAGTCACAAAAATCATTGTTAAGAATATTTGATTGTTTTTAGGAAAGGAATATCGGTCCTGGAAACTATGAATCACTTTAAACGTACTTAAATAAAGTTTTTAAATGTAATGCAATAAAGTTTTTCATTTGTTTATTTTAGGATGTTCAGTACAAATGTCATTCATTACATGTACCACTGAGTCACTTCAATATTCCAAATGTATTTGGAGTTTCAAATTTAATAGATGTGAGCATGAAACATATATCAAACGAAGTGTAACAATCAAAAATGATTTCAATATTTCAGTAAGTACTTCCTTCACGCTTAATGATCACGATGTGATTGTGTACATTACACACCCGCTACTTCTTATATTCGCTTTTAAAAATTATATTCCGACCAGTTTTTTGAGCAAACTTAGTTGTTAAACACATTGCTCAAGCAATATTGAATACTGTTATTTGAAAGAGAGAACAAACTGACAAAAACTTATCACTTCAAAGAAAAATATAAATAAATTCAAATAGAGATTAATTACACGTACAGTTAAATGTTACATTGTTCATTTAAATTCTGAAATGTATTTTGAAAGATAAATGGTTAATACATTTTTGTTTACTGAAGGACATTATGTACTCTCTAAACTACGAAGTGAATCAACTATGAGCACTTTACATGAATAAGATTGAAAACATAGATTATAATAAATTTATGTCAGAAATATCAATAAAAAATATGTTGACGAATTGTTGATTTCAAAAAAAATGTTCCCTTTAAAAACAATGTAATTTCAAACAAACTGTAGTACGTCTGCATTCATCCTCATTAGAACCATTGATGATTAACAGATTTTCGTAGCATCACGAAACATTTAGAACATCCCGAGAAATGATGGAACTTTCTGAATATATTACATATCACAAGTGTATTATGACCGCGAATAGAACAATCCGCTGATATTATCAATAATGTTTTGATTTATTGATCCTTTTCAAGTAAACAATTATGATATTGTTTTATTTTGTTTTCAGAACATATTAATATCAAGTGGAGTGACAGATACAAAATCAAAACGTAGTAGATGTATTGAATATGCACTGCCTTTTGCAATGATTGTTGTTTTATCCGTTTCACTTGTTGTTTGGTTGATTAAACGTAAGCAAAAGAAATGATTGTATAGTTCTCAGCTAAAGTGAAGAAAACATCTTTGACCTCCTAACTTGTACTTCATTTTATGTTATTTCACTGAATAAATAAAACGTTTTGGTTTTTTAGTTATTTGTGTTCTTGATGTTGTATTTATGAATTGCTCAAAATATGTAAGACTAGTGGTGTTGAGAGGTTATGATTTATCAGAAAAAAACCATGTCACTGTTCGATTGAAAACTGTATAACAGATTGAAAAACGTTAAGTCAAAATGATATTGTACCCGAAATACAACAAAGGGGTATTTGTAAATATTATCAAGGAGTGCCAAATAAAACAAATATGGTTAAAAATCACAAATTCGCGTCTTTTATACACATTTTTCCTCTTATGATCTTGAAGCGAGTTTAGAATCGCACTTTAATTGATTTTATTTTTTCTAAGTTAACTTCATCAGTTGTTTCCTACCAATAATGATTTCAAAGGTCAATATTACGGTAGGACAGAATAATATGTTTTTAAATCAGTCCATTTGAATTGAAAATTGTGAATTCTAGAAAAGTGAACATGTTTTGAGTCAGAGTCGACAAAGAGGTTAATGTATTGGAATGAATTCAGTGTTACCACGTTTGATGACACGTTTGATGACTAATATTTCGACAAATTTCAATGATTGGGAATGGACTTTATTTCAACAAGAAAGACTGCTGTAATCATTTGAAATCTTTTAGCAAGTCGACGTCTAGAGGTCCTACTGCTAAATGCTACATAGTCAGCTTGATATTATATATTTTGGAATATATCAAGTGAATCGAACGAAGCACTGCTTTTCTGTTCTACCAGTATACTGTTTGTTTATTTGAACTAGATGGTTCTTTTTGAATTCTTGAGAAATATTTTTCAGATAGCATATCACTGGATATTTGTCTGACTTCTACTAAGTACACATTGAGATCTGTTGTCCATGAATTAGTGTGTGTGTGTTTACAGCATTTTTGTGACATACATGACTGCAATGAAAAATATCATACATTAGAATAAATTGAAGTAAACAAATTTTGGTTACAGAAAACTGTAAGTGAATATTTCAATTAGATGAAATGTAAACGCAACTTTATATCAGAGTGAAAATGACTGATTAAAAGTAGTGAGGTTATCATTCATAATTTCAATAGGAAATCAGTTAAAGAATACACTCGATAGTATTATAATGTTTCTATCTATAATAGAAATTGTTTCCATTAAAGTTACCAGTATTAAAAGAATAGCTCTATTTTGTACTATTTACGAATAACTGGTTGAAGAAATGATCGACTGAAGTTATTCATTTATGAAAGGTATTAATTAAATAATAATCTATTCTGTTGATACTATTATATCTTTTACAAGAGTTAGTATAAACCAACTGATTTCTATCTGCTCGATTCTTGTTCTTTTGATACGGCTCCATGTGTTGTGTAGTGTTCAGTAAATGGAAATCTAGACACTTAACTGTCTTACTCTAGTCAGTTAGCAGTTGTTTGTGAGTACGTATATTCCATGATTTGAATAAATACGTTTATTTCAAGACAGTAAGGTTTCTGGATACAAACAGTTATCACCTAACCAGACTGGCGATACGTATTTTGCAATACGAAGAATAATGAGGGGCAAATTCTAATGCTTATAAGAGTAAGATTTAAGGACTAGGTAAATAATGTATAATTTAGGTTATTAATTGGTGATGAAGATTGTGAGAGAGGACTAAAGTGTAAACAAGGGAGAGAAAACAGAGATAATAGGCTAGATAGATCATCTGAGTGGTCTGAGGAGATGGCAGTGATAAAAACCAGAAGGCCTAAAGATGTGAATCAGGCACATCCTGTAAAAGATAGAGATGATAATCCATATGTGAGTACGTGATGATCAAGTCTGTTCTTAAAGCTGTCCTCTGAGGTGGCTGTGATGTCTTCGGATGGTAGAGCGTTCTGAGTTGCAACGACTGTGCATGAGAAAAAAAGTGCACCAAACCTCATAATTTTAACTTCCGAAACTCGACCGTAGCTGCTACCTTGACTTAGTGGTCGAGCTTGCTCATCGAAATGATCCAAACGAGCAATATTGGCTGAAACATATGTTCCTGAAGGTTCTACCACGCCAGGCAGGTCGATTAGAGAACGATGAGACTAAAATCAGCTACTCAAGGTCTGAGTGTGAAGTCCTACTACTGACTGCGGAGAGGAGTGACTGCAGTAAGGTGTTTCCATCGGACAACCAGAATCTACAGCGATACTGCCTTCTCACAAAGAATGAAGATTGAGAAAGTTCTACCATTAAATGTCACACACCACCCTACCTCACGGATTTCCGTCTTTGTCTATTAAGGGCTTTCAAGAGCGGAGCTAATCCTCAAAAAACCTTCTTTCAAAAGGCCGTGCGTGACCGGCCTCAAACATTCGTCCCCTGGGCTCTGTGGTCACGCTCCCAGGTCTGTAAGACCAACACTAATCTATCTTCCTTTTCAGGTTCCACAAGAAACAACCTTTTACGGTTTGGGCAGCCGGGAAGTTACCTGATACTCGTAACATCACGGGAAACCGAATTGGTCGAAATTAAATCCTTCCTACACCCACACATACCCCTCTTCTCTTCATAACTAACTCTACTCACATTACCTTATCTCAATGCATCGCTAATGCAAACGATGAGATTTCACGAATCATCTTTCCTGGTCTCTTGAAACCCTGTTCTATACTACATGTTGGAGGTTTTAATGTTCGGATATTGAGTCAAATAGGACAACAGGCTTCCTTAATCAGGAAATTAGAATCTCATGCTATCAAAATAAACTGCATCTTAGAAACGCGCATACAAGATCCTAGTAAAATTATTAATCTGATTTCACCTTGTCGAAATAAAGAAATAGCCCGATTTACTCTTCATGGATCTGGGAGCCCTGATGCTGCTTCCAGGAGTCTTGCTGGCGTAGGTATAGCATTGAGTGGAAGAGCTGAACGATCTTTGGATACCAGTGGATAATCGATTGTGCGCTGTCCGACTAAATGGGAAAGCAAGGGACACCCGTCGTTGCCTCCTCGTCGTATCTTCCTATGCCCACACTAACTGCAATTCAGACGAGGTGAAAGATCAGTTCTACGGAAAGCTTTCGGACCTGCTACAAAAGGTTGGTCACTCTAATGTAGAAATAATGGCTAGAGACTTTAACGCTCAAGTAGGTAAGTGAAAATGAAAGACATCTGGCTGAATGTTTTGTGTCACGGCTCAAAGAACAGACAATGGCGACCTTCTGTTGCAACTATGCTCAGATAACCGTCTATTTCTAGCAAACACTAACTTTAGGCATAAGGTAAGTCATCTCTTGACCTGGCCATTGGTCCTGGTATGAACAAATCCTATGACGATTTCAGTATTGCGTTAGAATTTTTCATTCATTTTGAGATAATCTTGCTAACGGATCATTGATTTTGCATTTAGTCAACTTATATCTGTGCGAATTCTACTTGTATGAGGCAGACTTCAATTTGATGCGCTGAACAATTACAGTATGTTTACTGTGATACATTAGAGTGAAGTGAAAACTTAGCTGAAAGACTTAATCAGTTTGCTTCACATCACAATATAGTTCAGTGAAAATATTTTACATATGAACCATGATTTTTCAGAACACAATATTGTCATGAAATAAAACAACCAAGCGTTATTGATCATCTTCAAAATCAGCAATTTCAGGTACATTTTACAACTACTATGATGTAAATACATGGCCGTTGAGAGTAGAGGACATTCGTAGGCTACTAGTATTCGATCATAGGTGCATCTGAATCATTGCTCGTGTATCCTGGGATGATCGAGTAAGCAATCTTATCGTCAGGAAACGAGTTCTACTTAAAGATGGCAAATCAATAGATGAAGCATTGAAACTTCATCAGTTGAGGTGGTTGGGATATGTGTTACGTATACCTAACAAACAACTGCCTCGACGAGCTTTGTTTTGTGATGTAGGAGTAGGTTGGAAGAAAGCTAGAGGCTGCCAGACAAAAGCATGGCACAAATCCATGAAATCAGTGACATGTGGACTGCGTCATTTTGGTAGATATGGAGTATCTGAGACGAAAGTTACAGATGGTTAAAGAACTTGAAAGACATGGCGCAGGTGCTTCCACTCTTTGTGTTCTCTCGAATTCCAACCTTCTGAATTCCTCATAATCTCTATCTTTCTCCTTCCCAATGAATCTCACTGAATTATACTTCTCGAATCATATCTTCGCTCCCTACTCTTCTCGATTGCTGCTAATAAATCTACTATTGCTTTCACTCTTGGATTTGAACTGACAGTTACGTCTCTGTGCTGACTTGGTATGACGACCTGAACTGATGTACTTATGTACGAAGTTCTGTGTTGTATCTATCTGTCTGACTGGTGTAATTAGCTGAAATTGCAGGTGCATTTATCAGCTGAAATTCATATTTTCTTCTTTTACCGTAATTGCGTAGAAAAAAGTACGTTCGTGATGATCATAGAGCAGACTGTGTAACAATACTCCTCGCTGAAACAATTAACACCTTGCAATAAACACAATTTATCTGTTGACAAACTAATTTAATACTCATGTTCACCGATACTAAACTTTAAAAGGTTCATTGATTTCACTTATTTAGAAAAGTCCTAATCTAGTAATTTTATTCTGGAATTCTGAATTTGCAATCTCGCACCAGTCCAACTCACACATTCAGCTCACATTTGTTCCACGGGAAAGTAGTCGAATATCATAGATTGATGGATCATTTTAGTAAGCCGTTTTATGGCCCTCCCAACGGCGTTTCTATCAAGTATAAATAAGCTCGGTTTGTGTACTTATTAACCTCGTATATTCTAGGTGCTTGTAAAATGCATTTTATATCGATCATCAAAACTTCTTGATCTAGTAAGAACCTGTATTCTACAAGCATCCAGAAAGTACGAGGTCCAAATCCAGAAGATAATCATGATCCCGGAGTAGGGATCATGGACCGAGCCCTGGTTCT